TCAGGGAAGACAACCAAAGCAAACCAAGCAAAATTTTGAAACGGTTCGGTTGATTGGTGTATTTGATTTGGTATTATTAAACAAAAATAAGGCAAGCCATCTACAGAACATAATAAGCAAGCGTTTAAAAAAACCCACAATCCAACACACACACAAAAAAAAAAAAAGAAAGAAAGAAAAAGAAAAATTGGAACATAAAACAAAACCATAACTACTTTACAGGTATCCTTTTACTTAGACAAATTAGGGTACCCCAATAATCAAGAAAGGTTCGATATTGCCTGGCAAATGGCATCTTGGATGGTCATTTTCCCAAACTCTCTTATTCGGCATTTATCAAAATATTAAATCTGATCATCCTCTCATCACCCGTAATAAAGTATGACAAAAATTAGCCATAAAACAATATTTTAAGTTTGAAGCAACATGGACCAAAGATCCAGACAACCAATGGACGTTACAAGAAGCCTGCAAGTCCAGAATTTAGGGATCCTCAACTTACATGCTGCGTTAGTAGTGGTGAAATAAATGCAGTTAGGTTGCGGTCTAAAGTGGGGTTTCTTGAGAATTTAGGAGTCCCAACATTCCCGCTATGTTACAAGTAGGATTGAAATTAGTGTAGTTTGCTCAAGGTCTTGGGTGGTTTCTCCAACCAAGCAAAACTTATCAAATTGAAATTCACAAAAAACCTACCCGACCAATTAAGGGAGACAACCAAGCCGACCGTGCAGAATTTTGAAACAGTTCGGTTGGTCAGTGTATTCAATTTGCCATTAAAAGGCGTATCCAGTGCACAAAACTCCCGCTTAAGCGAGGTCTAGGGAAGAGTTGATGTACGCAGCCATACCTCCGCAAGCAAAGAGGCTGTTTCTGCAACTCGAACCCATCATCAAGGGATAGCTTTACTGCTATGCCAGGCCCGCCCTTCAATTTGCCATTACTAACAAAATTAGGGAAACCATATAAACAACCTAATAAGCTAGCATTGATAAAAATGCAAAAATCCAAAGAAAATTGGAATCCAAAATAAAATTAAACTGAAGTTTTTGATTTGATATTCACATAAATCGATCATGACCGGTCAAGAGAGACAACGAAAGACAACCTGTGTAGAATTTTGAAATAGTTCGATTGGTCAGTCTATTCGATTTTGCATTATTAAACAAAATTAGGGCAACCATATACAGAAGATAATGAGCTAGTGCAAAAAATAATCTGAAATAAAAAAAAAATAGAAAAAAGAAAAATTAGAAGATAAAACCAAACCAAACCGATTTTTTGATTTGACATCCACATAAATTGATACTAAATGGTCAAAGGAGACAATCAAGCTGACTGTGCAGAATTTTGAAACGGCTTGGTTGGTCAGTGTATTCGGTTTGCCATTATTAAATAAAAATTGGGGCAAGGCCTACACAGAACATAATAAGTTAGCACTGAAAATATCCACAATCCAAAAAAAAAAAAAAAGATTGAAAAAGAAAATTAAAACACAAATTAAAGCTAAACCAAAGTTTTCAATTTCACATTCACATAAATCAATCTTTCACAGATCAAGGGAGACAACAAAGCCACCCATACAAAATTTTGAAGTGGTTTGGTTGGTCGATGTATTCAGTTTGGCATTATTAAACAAAATTAAGATAACCACATACTGAAAATAATAAGTTGGTGGAAAAAATTCAAAATCCCAAAAAATAAAAGAATAAAAGAATAATTGGAACATAAAATAAAACCAAACCGAAGTATTCAATTTGACATTCACATATATTGATCCTGACTAGTCAAGGAAGACTACCAAGCTGACCATGCGAAATTTTGATGTTGTTTGGCAAATTGGTGTATTCAGTTTGCCATTATTAAACAAAATTAGTGCAACATATACAGAACATAATAAGCTAGCATTGAAAAATATCCAAAATCCAAAAAGAAAAGAAGATTAGAATACAAAATAAAGCTAAACCAAAGTTTTTGATTTCACATTTACATAAGTTGAACCTGACCAATCAAGGGAGATCAAGTAGGACAACCAAGCCAACCTTGCAAAATTTTGAAATGGTTCGGTTGGTTGGTGTATTCGATTTGCCATTATATTATATAACAAACAAAATTAGGACAGGCCATATAAAGAATATAATAAGCCAGCATTGAAAAAAATATAATTTGGAATGTAAAATAAAAGCAAACCGAAGCTTTTGATTTCATATTCACACAAATCGATCTTGACTGGTCAAGGGAGACAACCAAGCCGACCATGCAGAATTTTGAAACGATTCGGATGGTTGGTGCATTTGGTTTCCCATTATATTAAACAAAATTAGTGAAAGCAATATACAAAACATAATACGGTAGTGTTGAAAAAAATAAAAATTGGAATGTAAGATTAAAAAAAAAAATGAAGCTTCCAAGTTGACATTCATGTAAATTGATTTTGACATGGTCAAGGGAGACAACTGAACCGACCGTGCAGAATTTTGAAACAATTCGGCGGGGTCAATGTATTTGGTTTGCCATTATTAAACAAAATTAGTGCAACCATATACAAAACGTAATAACCTAGCGTTGACAAATATCAAAAATTCAAAAAAGAAAAAGAAAAAAGAAAAAAGAAAACCAATCAAGAGAGATCAAGCGAGACATCCAAGCCGACCACGTAGAATTTTGAAATAGTTAGGTTCGAGCATAAAATAAAAGCAAACCGATGCTTTGATTGGAGCATAAATAAAAGCAAACCAATGCTTTCGATTTGACATTCACATTAATCGATCTTGACCGATCAAGGAAGACAACCAAGCCAACCATGCAAAAGATTGAAACAGTTCGTCTAGTCAGTGTATTTAGTTTGCCATTATTAAACAAATTAGTGCAACCACACGCATAACATAATAACCTAGCATTAAAAAATATCCAAGATCCGAAAAAATAAAAATTTGTAGAATTTTTAAAAGCAAACCGAAGCTTTTGAGTTGACATTCACGTAAATCAATATTGATTGGTCAAGGGAGACTACCGAGCTGATCGTACAAAATTTTGAAACGGTTTAGCTAGTCAATGTATTCGGTTTGCCATTATTATTAAACAAAATTAGTGCAATCATATACAGAACATAATAAGCTAGCGTTGAAAAATATCCAAAATCCCAAAAAATAAAACTTTGAACATAAAATAAAAGCAAACCGAAGCTTTTGAGTTGACATCCACGTAAATCGATCTTGCCTGGTCAAGGGAGACAACCGAGCTAACCGTGCGGAATTTTGAAACCGTTTGACTGGTCAGTGTATTCGGTTTGCCATTATTAAACAAAATTAGTGCAATCATATACAGAACATAATGAGCTAGTGTTGAAAAATATCTAAAATCCAAAAAAAAAAGAAAATTAGAACACAATAAAGTTAAACCGAAGTTTTCAAAATTAATCATCATCACTAGCAGCACTATTTTATACCCAAATCCAAAAATGCGAATAATCACATGATACCTAGCTAGGTTTTGGAACTCAATAGACGGCTGAGGCAATTTCATGGAGTTTCAAGTAGATGGGTTTCCACAAAACAACACGGTGTCAAATCCACTGGGACAAACAAACAGAGAGCAACCCATTACAAAAACGCCATACCTGCATACACCGCACTGGTTGGGGATCGAACTGTACAGTCTCCACAAACGAATCAAAATCGACCGATGAATGCTCCAACATTAATGATTAATGAATTAAAACTCATAAAAAAACTTATAAAATAAAAAACACAACAAATTCAATTCGTAACCTAAACAAATCATTCAAAATCTACATCCAACATTAACTTGCATTCATCCTACATTCATCATTCATAAACCAAATAAAAAAAATCCTACATTGAAAATTCTACATTCATCATTCCTAACCAAAATACAAAAAAAAAAAAAAAGTAATTCTTCATTAACTTACATTCATCCAAAATGAAAAAAAAATTAAAAATTCATTAACTTACATTCATCCAAAACCAAAATGCAATTAAAAAAATAGAATAACCTATTAAAATAACACATCCAAAATGCAAAAAAAAATTAAAAATTCATTAACTTACATTCATCCAAAACCAAAATGCAATTAAAAAAATAGAATAACCTATTAAAATAACAAACTTCCCAGACGAGGCCATTGACAATACAGACCAAGTCCACAAGTAGTGTTTCAATCTCTTCCAAACATCATGAGAGCATCAATTCATTAGTAATAAATAAACATGTAAAAACAATCAACTTTGACCCAAAACCAAGATATTTAAGCATTAGATATTTTCGTATGGTCAAATGATTAGTAAAATTAATTTCTTTCTTCTACAATAAAGGTGTACCTTCCAACCCTAGTAACAAGTCTACAAATCACAAACAAGCAATTAAAATCAACCACCATGGTATTGACAAAACAGTGAGACACTTTCAATATGGAAGGCAGAAGCAAAGAATTCTAACAATATAAACACCCTAGTTTAATCATTGAAGATTGAAGAACATCAAGTACATAGCCATATATAAGTGAGCTTCAGGACTTCCTGAAACTTCTTTCATCACCTACCACCACCACCACCATCATCCAACAAGCACAAAAAGAGAAAAACTGACTATTTTTCAAGATGGACTAACCCCAAAATGACTAGTCTTCATGTTATAGAAATCCTACACAACCTGCCCCAATGATCAAAAAGCTTTCTTTTTTCTTTTTTTTTGCCTAAATAATAGCTCTATGACTACAAAAAAAACAAAAAATTGAAATAAAACAATCATGTAATAAGCAAATTGCAGTTAGGGGAAAGAATAATACTATTCTCTGATTGTAAGCCTCGATGTTCTTGTTGTATTCAGTCTTCCTTTTCTCTGCCCTCGAGACAAATGGGGCTTTCTTCTAATTTTCGAAAGAAAAAAGAAAAACAAACAATCATTATAAATAAATGCATTTACTTTGGAGTAGTTTCAATTAGAAGCAAATTATTAGGTAGAATCGTTTTCTACAAAATTACTCACAGCTTCTGACATGGATTTCCATTTGTCTCCACCAGCCTTACCAACCTGGACCAAATTCGATACAAAAATGCTAAAAGTTAAATCAAATTTTAACAAAATTAGACAGAATTCTGGAAATAGGATTATTCAAAAACGCTTACAGCAGCAACAGATTTGTTGTTTGGATGCTTCTCCTTGTACGTCTTCCTGAACTCCTCCCTAAGATATATACACACAAAAGCAAAGCAAACAAATAAGCCCTAAATCAATTGAAAATTTATATTTACAGGAAAAGCACAAATTAATCAACGATGATTATACATGAAAACGAAGAAGGTACTGGCAGGCCTCTTAGGCTTGTTAGGATCCTTGGCAGCAGCCTTCCCCTTCTTCGCAAGCTGTTTAGCAGGTTTCTCGGCACCTCTCTTCTTCACAGAAAGCCTAACAACAAAGCAAAAAAAACAATCGATCTTCATCATCATCAACACAAAAAAACAAAACAAAAAACAGATCGAGAGAGAGCCGATCAGTGTAGATGCAAAACCAGAGAGTAAGAGACTGTGAGATGAGAGAGTGAGGGAGATGAGATAGTGAGGGAGACAGATCAGAGACAGAGAGATCTGATATGTTTGAAAAATAACCAAGGGAAGAGAGAGACAGACATAGATAGAGACTGAGATTCAGAGAGGGGCTTTACCTGTGAGGTGTACGATGAGATCGATCGGTCGATCTTGCAAGAGAGAGACTCGATCAGTGGGTGCATGCAGCGCGCAGATGAAAATCGCAAGAGTGAGAGTGAGCGTGAGAATGAGAGACACAGAATGAGATAGATAGAGTGAGAGATAGATAATATTGAGTAGGGTTTTCTTTTTTGAATGGTTGGATTTGAAGGAAAAGAAAATGGGGTTTTTTTTTTAAACTTCCCAGACTAAGCCATTGACAATACAGACCAAGTCGTTTCAATCTCTACAAAACATCATGACAGCTTCAATTCATTAGTAATAAATAAACATGTAAAAACAATCAACTTTGACCAAAAACCAAGATATTTAGGCATTAGATATTTTCTTATGGTCAAAAGATTAGTAAAATTAATTTATTTCTTCTACAATAAAGGTGTACCTTCCAACCTTAGTAACCAGTCTACAAATCACAAACAAGCAATTAAAATCAACCACCATGGTATTGACAAAACAATGAGACACTTTCAATATGGAAGGCAGAAGCAAAGAATTCTAACAATATAAAAACCCCAGTTTAATCATTGAAGATTGAAGAACATCAAGTACATTCCCATTTATAAGTGAGCTTCAGGACTTCCTGAAACTTCTTTCATCACCTACCACCACCACCATCATCCAACAAGCACAAAAAGAGAAAAACTGACTATTTATCAAAATGGACTAACCCCAAAATGACTAGTCTTCATGTTATAGAAATCCTACACAACCTGTCCCAATCTTCACCGCAAATGTCTACCCACCTCCTGCATTTCGCCTACTCGTCGTCATCTTCTTCCTGCAATGAATGCAAAAACAAACAACTCTCATAATCATCGCTAATAATTAATCATATCAACACAAAGGGATATAAAAATTTAACAGTAATCAATTAAAATCTCATTGGAACCTCTCCACTCTCATCATCGTCGTCGTCGTGCACCTCGGACATCGATTTGTCAGACTCCTCATCCTCAGCTGGTCCGTCAGCCTATCATTGAATTTAAGCCAGTAAGAAATGATCAAAAAGCTTCTTTTTTCTTTTTTTTTTCGCCTAAATAATAGTTCTATGACTACAAAAAGAAAACAAAAAATTGAAATAAAATAATCATGTAATAAGCAAATTGCAGTTAGGAGAAAGAATAATACTATTCTCTTATTGTAAGCCTCGATGTTCTTGTTGTATTCAGTCTTCCTTTTCTCTGCCCTCGAGACAAATGGGGCTTTCTCCTAATTTTCGAAAGAAAAAAGAAAAACAAACAATCATTATAAATAAATGCATTTACTTTGGAGTAGTTTCAATTAGAAGCAAATTATTAGGTAGAATCGTTTTCTACAAAATTACTCACAGCTTCTGACATGGATTTCCATTTGTCTCCACCAGCCTTACCAACCTGGACCAAATTCGATACAAAAATGCTAAAAATTAAATCAAATTTTAACAAAATTAGACAGGATTCTGGAAATAGGATGATTCAAAAACGCTTACAGCAGCAACAGATTTGTTGTTTGGATGCTTCTCCTTGTACGTCTTCCTGAACTCCTCCCTAAGATATATACACACAAAAGCAAAGCAAGCAAATAAGCCCTAAATCAATTGAAAATTTATGTTAACAGGAAAAGCACAAATCAATCAACGATGATTATACATGAAAACGAAGAAGGCACTGGCAGGCCTCTTAGGCTTGTTAGGATCCTTGGCAGCAGCCTTCCCCTTCTTCGCAGGCTGTTTAGCAGGTTTCTCGGCACCTCTCTTCTTCACAGAAAGCCTAACAACAAAGCACAAACAACAATCGATCTTCATCATCATCAACACACAAAAACAAAACAAAAAATAGATCGAGAGAGAGCCGATCGGTGTAGATGCAAAACCAGAGAGTAAGAGACTGTGAGATGAGAGAGTGAGGGAGATGAGATAGTGAGGGAGACAGATCAGAGACAGAGAGATCTGATATGTTCGAAAAAAACCAAAGATCGGGGAGAGAGAGACATAGACAGAGACTGAAATTCAGAGAGGGGCTTTACCTGTGAGGTGTGCGATGAGATCGATCGGTCGATCTTGCAAGAGAGAGACTCGATCAGTGGGTGCATGCAGCGCGCAGATGAAAATCGCAAGAGTGAGAGTGAGAGTGAGAGACAGACCGAGAGGAGGAGAGGATATAGAGTTCTGTTCTGAGTGAGTGAGTTTGATTATATTTGGGTTTTTCTTTTTTTTGAACGATCAAATTTGAAGGGGAAAAAAAAAGGATTTTTTTTTTAATGGTTAGACTAAAAAAAAAAAAGGTTTTATGTGGGTGGGTTGGGCAGGTGCGGGTCAAATTCGTAACCCGTTCGTAATTCAAAAATTAGATAAAATTTAAATTACACCCTATTTTAATGTGTTTGTGAAATTGCCCATACATGCACGGTTCGGATCGGTAGGGCGATTTAGTCAGGTCGGATGACCTTATGCCCAGTCCTAAGAGAAAGTATATGATTGAATGAATTAGGGTTTGGATTTTTTATGGAAGTCAGAGCAGAGAAGACTAGATGGGGGGCCTAGGGCGGGGGCAGGGACGGGTTTAGGTTCCTTGCCTTTTATATAGTCATGTTTATGCGTGTATGTGTGTCAACTTTTGTTTCGTGCTGCTCAAAACAGAAGTGTTTAATTGTTATTTATTATTATTTTATAAGTTTGTGGGTAATTTATAATTTCAAAATTTAATTGAGTATTATTTTATTACATAATATATTTTTTGTTAACAAAATTTAAGTTTAGCATTGAAATTATTAATTTTAAAATTTTCAAAAAGATAATTCTATTTACACAATTTTTCAAAATCATCTTATTACACTTTTATTCCTTTTTTTAAATTATCAAAAAATTTCTTAAAATTCTAACCCTAATTCCTCTTCACACCCACCTTTTGCCGAGATAAATGGAAGTGGAAACGGATTTTGCCTTGTTCTAGTTTCTTACCATTAGCAAAAAATGACACTTTCAATCTTTACTGCGTTCAACTGAAAATGACATCGTTCTACTAATATATTACAGCCTCTGTCCTTGCATGGAAGCATTTGAACCCTCAGATTAATTTTTCAAAATCATCTTATCACACTTTTATTCCTTTTTTTAAATTATCAAAAAAATTCTTAAAATTCTAACCCTAATTCCTCTTCACACCCACCTTTTGCCAAGATAAATGGAAGTGGAAACGGATTTTGCCTTGTTCTAGTTTCTTACCATTAGCAAAAAATGACACTTTCAATCTTTACTGCGTTCAACTGAAAATGACATCGTTCTACTAATATATTACAGCCTCTGTCCTTGCGTGGAAGCATTTGAACCCTCAGATTAGTTTAGGGTTGCATGTCAAGGTATGCTTCAAACTGTTAGATAGATGGCTGGAGGGATATGGTTGGGAGAGGATCCTGATCTGATTACCTATTTGTCCTGCTATTACATGATGGTGACTTTTTTGGCACTGTTTTCTAACGAGAAGTAATTTTTTTCCCTAATATAATTTGTTTTCCAATCAAAGACGCACAACATGGTTTTGTAATCAAAAAATTACTATAAGTATCATATCACTTTCTTTTTTTTATACTTTTTACACATTTTTTTTATAAAAAGTTAAAAAATCAATTAAAATAGTCGATTCCCAAACAGGGTCACAATATTTATTTTTAAAAAACTAAGATTTTTATTAATTGCTAACTATATACATGTTTAAATCATATTTGTCTTGGCAATTTTTTGTAACACAAATTTTATCCTAATGTAAGTTATTTATGTTTGATCAAGTTAATTAATTTCAATAATGGTTTACTTGAAAAACACTAAAATTACAACCTTTTAAATAAATGAAGTGTGCCTAATTAATTCCAATCCCCAGTCACTTTTTCATCGGTGACTAATCAACTTGTCACATTCGACCAACGCAACCATCTTGCTCCCTTCCCTTTATTTTTTTATTTTTTCTTCTTCTTTCTTGATCTCTCTCTTTCTTTTGTGGTGATAGAGAGGGTAGGATTGGTTCACAATGAGGATGGGATCGAGAAGTGCAACTTGAGAGAGGGTACAGAGCATTGTTGGGACAGAGAGGCTCGCCAAAAATGGAAATGAGGGTCACCAACGATAGTTGCAGTGTTGGTGGTTATGAAATTTTGTAAAAAAATTTATGAAAAACATACCATATACACCTTTTTTAATATGTGTTTTTGCTCCTCTCTTTTTTGGTAACAAAACTTGAACTGCACACTAAGTGAATATTCAGGTGGTCCAACTTGGATTGCGACCCCACTAACCTAAATTAAGTGTGTGAAAAGTTTTTTTTTTTACACTGTTTATTCAAAATTTGATGTTTGTAATACCATTCAATAATTTTATTTCAAATCACCAATGTAATTAATATTTTTAATAGAATATCGAATATGTGAAGGTACTTATTCACCTTTTAGAGATAAAGATTTGAATACTATGAAACAAAACACAATTAATTATTTTAAAATATTTAATAAAACACAATTATTATTATTTTTTAAAAAAAAAGTACTAATGCTTTGAATACAATTCAATTAAACAAGTCATTTTTTTGTGTGTATTATGTTGAAAGTACTAATTTGGTTCGCAATTTGAAATAAAATGAATTAGGGTAAATTACACTTATCGTTTTTGAGATTTGATAAAAATACAATTAATAGGAGGGTGTAAGGCATTAAGTTCAGTAAATATTTTTTATTGGTGAGAAACGATGGTACTACATGCACCAATTAATATACTAACTAGTGTACCAACACAAGTTATGACATTATTATTGACCTCACTCATTAATCACATTACAAATACCAAAAATCTATTAAATTATGCCACATCATCAATTGGTACACTAGTTAGTGCATAATAATTTCACGTTTTGCGAAATAATTTGATGAGAAATCCTAAAAGATATTCAATGTGTTTGGTTTCAATTTTCTAAAAATTGAGTTTTTTTATTTTTATTTTTAGTGAATATTTTTAAAATTTTAAGTAAATTTTTTTTTATTTTTTTAAATGCACTTTACTTAGATGTATTTAACAAGTAAAATATTTGTCAAAAAATATTTTAAAAAATAATAATTATACAAAAATATGAAAAATGTATTGAATTTTTAATAAATATTTTTTTTTGTATTTATTGGATTTTGAAAACACTTTTGTCACAAATATTATATTTTTTAAGTATATTTATATTAGGCTAAAAATTAAAAAAAAAAAAAAACTGCTTAGAATATTAAAAAAAATCAGCAAAAATAAAAATAAAAAATTAATTTTTTAAAAAGTGAATCCTAAAGATCCAAACCAAACAAGCAAATGGTATTATGCAATGTGTGAATGCGACTAACTATATTTTCTTTTAGGGCTGGGCTTCCCTTCGATCCGTGTTCGAACTGAAGGATACTGTTGAGCCCATGGGGCTCACCACGAGTCATGTTTTGATAATCTAAACCGTTCAATATGTATAACTCGTCAAGTACTATATGCTTGTAAAAAACCACTTTGATCGATATCGATAGCTATCTCATCAGATCAGATTTCTTTCAACCGTTTATCTTTTCACAATATTTTTTTTATACAAAACTGATTTGATCACGTAACAATTGATATCCGATCATCGTAATTGTTTGTAGGCATATAGTACTCGATGAGTTCTACACATAACACCTCAAATTATCTACACAGGACCTGTAATAAGTCCCCACAGGCAGGACTGACCTTGAGATTTAGGGGCTCCAAGGCAAATTTCAGAAATGGGACCCTTTTACATTGAAAGGGGAAAAAAAAATCATAGATAAAACTAGGGATTTTTGGTGAAACTCCCATTTTGTGCATTTTTATTAGAGTAAAGGATAACCTAATCAATTTTCTTTCAAAAGGCCCCTGAGTAGGAAATGCCTACCTTAATAAGGACACTTTATAACTTCTATTTTTTTATGACAATATTGCCCTTCTATATATATGTATCATATATTTGAAATCTGAGCTGTATACGATCTGCTACAATTTGCAAAATCAAGAACAAAATCAATGAAGACGATCTCCAAATTTGAAGATCTCGTAGCCTAAGATCTCTCCCTTGGTCAACAATAGACGATCTCGCCGATCTCTCTTTTGGTCAACAATAAATGATCTCACCATCGACAATCAACACTCTCAATTAAACGAGAGTTTCATTGAGATTTGTGAGTGTTGATCGAGTTTTAGAGGTTTTTCTTCTCAATTAGGTATGTTGATTTGTTGATTTTTTTTTTTTTTTTTTTTTTTTTTTTGTGTTTGATCTGATTTTGTTTGACAAAATCAGAGTAAAATTTTATTCTGGTTCTATTGCTCTGTTTTTTGTTTGAGATAATAAGTTTACTCTAGTTCTATTGCTCTGTTTTTTGTTTAAGAGAATTACAGTAAAATTTTACTCTGGTTCTATTGCTCTGTTTTTCGTTTGAGAGAATTAGAGTAAAATTTTTACTCTGGTACGTGCTCTGTTTAGAATGAGAGTAAAATTTTACTCTAATGTTAGAATGACAGTAAAATTTTATTGTCAAGAAGTGGTCATTGCCAAACACTTCAACCGCTACAAAATTTTACTCTGTCTCCGCTGACGTTGATCATGTTTGTTGCAACTTTTGCTTAGGTAAAAATAGTTTAGACAAGCTAAAATTTTGATTATTGAGAAGACAGGGGAGATATGTTTTTTTAGCTTATGCGTTTTAGTTATCAATTTTTAACTAACAAAAAATTGCACCAAACAAGTTCATTGTCTGCAAAGAATACCATTTCTATGTGTTTGTGTAGGTTTATATATATGTATATCTATACACAAGTTATTAATAATTCATGATCACAGTTTGTGTTGGAATTTGGTGGGCATGAACTATTTTTAGACCTACAGAACTTCATAAAGACTCTTCAATTAGTCCCAAAGAAGTCATATTCTAAGATGTTCCAAGAAGCCAAACTGGAATGTCTAAAAGTGATTTGTATTAGGAAAGCTTTGACAGAGATGAACATATGAGGAATGTGTATTAGATCAAAATAATCTTGACTTTTGGACTTGTAGTGACAGTAAAACTTTACTTTGATAGTGACAGTAAAATTTTACTTTGAGTAACAGTAAATTTTTATTCTTAATTAATTGCAGATTTGTAAAATGGTTCCACTTCTTATGTTGTTATGCAAGTATGGTGGTCGTACCATTGTGTTCAAGGTTGTGTCAAACTGCATGTTGAAGGATTTAACTGATTTCTTAAGTTGTAAATTGAAGAAGTTTGACAGTAGTGGTTGCATACTATTATTGTAACGCCCTCAAAATAATAACATTAAACCCATCAATATAGACATGCATTGATATATAAAAGCTCCACATTCTTCTATTCATCAGAGTTCCATTACCAAAAAGTATTACATGTTAACGACAAAAGCAAATGCCTTAAAGGCTTACAGCTTTCCAAGTTAACACTTGGTTACAACAAAAGAGTGCTAACTCATTTACACATTAAGCCCTTGGCTTGAATATACATGTAATACATCAAAGAAACTAAAGAACAAAAGTCTGCCCGCCTCTAGCCTCCCAAGCTACGTCCTTGGAGGTGGCATGCTACCTGTACCTGAAAATGATATTCCTATATAGGGTGAGCCACAGCCCAGTAGAAATACACTAAACCAAATATGAACAATGACTAAAAGATTAGCAGTTGATAGATGGCCAACACTGATACTTTCCCTTATCACACTTTACGGTTTCATGACATACAAGTCCATGTTACAATCCATTTTCCAATTCTTTTTGATTCTCAATTTATAACCATGGCTCAGAACCTGGCCAAACAACTTATATGAGACAGTAACTCAGATTAAACTTCTTCCCAATTCATATTAGATAAGCATACTAGCTATATCAACACATCAATAGATAAGCATACAAACTATATCATCACTTCCATAGATATGCATAAGAGCACTATCACACTTCCAAAGACAAGCATATGAGCTATGTCAACACATTACTAGATAAGCATATGAGCTCTATCTATGGACTCCATCTCCTATCTTCTCCCAACAACATCCGGTTTAGAGGTCCATCCCCTATCTTTCCATAAACCGTGGAGTACATCCCCTATCTCCTCCAATACGACTCAATGCATATAAACAATAATTATACACATCATCACACAACACATAAATTTAATGTATTCTTTCAATCGTCATACTCAATGACACATTCCAGTGATTAGTTTCAGTTTGCCTAATCATCATGCGTTGTCTACAACAATCAAGACTATCCTCCACCGATAGCCCAAAGCAGTTATTTCTATACAGAAAATAAATGCAACAATGGATATATAATCAACATTTCAACTAGGTGAGTGGTAAATAATCCAACTACACCCTTTAATTCCATACATTTCCAAATCAATTTCTCATTTCTTATAATTAATTATGCGAATTAATTAACCAATGTAATTAGGGCATTTTTCATAATTAACATTACAATCCTTAGGTTCCATTTTCATTAATGTTTTAACATTAATTTCACTTTCTCATGCCAAACACGCATCTAGGTTTTATATAGCTAAAACCCCAACTTTTGTAAATTTGCACAAAAGCCCCAAACTTTCATAAAATTACCAAACCAACCCCAACATCTCAAAATGCTAAAATTTAAAGACAAAACCCATAATGAGGAGTAGGTTATCCCTACCTCAAAGAATGACACCTAACCAAGAAGATGATGGAAATGAAAATGCTCCAAACCACGAACTTTTCGGATCAAAAGATAGCCCTCGACGATCAACAACTTTTTTGTAAAGGCCAAAGGTGAGGAAATCACTCTTACTAGATCAATACCTAGAGAGAAGGTAGAGCTCTAGAGTGAGAAGCTCAACAATGGTGTTTTTGGAAAAGTAAGAGAGAGAAAGAATGAGAAAAGTGATTTAAAACTGTCCCACAGCCAACTGATATACGACATTCCCGCTCGAGCGGAAAACACAACGCTCGAGCGTCAAGAACAAAAAACTAGGTCCACTCGAGCGCAAAAAGCCCTACTCGAGCGCCAAGACACAAGAATAAAGCACATCCGCTCGAGCGCGAAAACCTGTCCGCTCGAGTGTAGATTTCCCCCTCCCAGAACTTACACCGAAAAGGTACTACCCGCTCAAGCGCCAAAGTATTCGCTTGAGCACCCCCGCTCGAGAGTAAACAAACCCGCTCGAGCGTAAAAACCACACCTGCAGAAGTTTTGCAGGGACACGAAAAACTGGGAGCACGTAATCTCCGCTCGAGTGCAAGAAGACCCGCTCGAGCGGACCTCCTAAAAACTGGGCAACAAAGAATTGAAACCAAGGCCTAACCAACCTGTAACAACTCTGCCCCATACATCCTAAAACTCAATCAAGTGGAATTAAAGGATGACAACAAGGTGTACCACCACCAACATCACGGAACCGAGTCCGAAATACAACAGAACAGTAAAGGGACAACCGGGATCACTATAGTTATCGCACTGTTTACCTGGACATTCGCAATGCATGATTGATGATGATTCTGATTTTCAGAATATGTTGTCGCTTGTTTATCCTCTTGGTGTTGACCGGGTTGATGTAACTATTACTGAAATGGGCATTTCAAATGAAAAACATGAAGTTAGGAAATTAGGGGACGCTAGTGGATCCAACATTACTGATGATGAAATGGATTTACTCCCTATGTTTTGTCAACATGAATAAAGGACTTTGTTGTCTTGTGGATGGGTGAATGGAATTACTCATGTAGGTCAAAGATTTATTGGAGGTGCAAAGGATTTCCAGACTGCATTATGTAAATATGCCATTGAGATAGGGTTTGAGTTTGTGTATGTGAAGAATGAGAAGTGTCGGGTCACTGCTGTGTGTTCAATGAGGGAGTCCAAAGCTTGTTTATGGTGAGTACATACATCTCTAGAAAGTGTTAATAATTTTTTCTACATCAGGACTCTACATGATGAGCATACTTGTGCAGCTGCAGCTCGTATTTCTAAAAACTCAAGGATGAGTTCAAATTTGGTTGCAAGTTTGATTGTTAATGAAGTTCATGGGAATCCCCAAACTCGTCCAATTGATGTCGTACGTTAATTTACAGATCAATACGGGCTCACCATTATGTACAATCACGCTTGGTTGGGAGTTGAGAAAGCTAGGACTACTACTTTTGGGGATTTCTCTATGTCTTATGATAAGATTCGATGGTATATGGATATTGTGATGAGCACAAATGCTAGTAGCTATTTGCATCTTGACTATAACCATCAAAGTGGACGATTCAAGAAGTTTTTTGTTGCATTTAATGCTTCTATTCAAGGGTTTAGGCATTGTCGTCCTCTATTGTTTATCGATGGAACTTTTTTGAAGGCGAAATATAAGAGCACCTTGTTAACAGCTACAGCGAAGGATGGGGATCAAAGTAGATATTACTATAGCTTATTCAAAAGTAATAAGTTACTTATTCTCAGAGTAACATGTTAATTATTTTCAGAGTAACATGTTATTGTTATTCAGAGTAAAACGCTACTATACTTGTCCTTTTCGTTTAATATATTTACTAATTGTAAAATGTTATTTTTTAGGTTTTTCCGCTTTTGCAATGGCAATTGTCGATACGGAGACTACAGACAGTTGGGAATGGTTTTTTATGCATTTGTTGAATATATTGTTGGATAAATGACCAATTACCTTCATATTTGATCGAAACGCTGGACTTTTAGAGGCTTTACCTAAAGTTTTACCTACTGCTTACCACTATTTTTGTCTCCAACGCTTGCAGGCCAATTTGAGGGATAGGTTTTTTGGTCCAAGTTTCAGCAATACTTTCAGGAGTATAATAGTTTTTTTGTTTTCTTCATGTGCTTATGCTCCGACGGTGGGATGTTTTAATCAGTGTTTGAAAGAATTACAAGATGAGGGAAAAATGATCGTTTATAGGTTTCTATCCAATTTGCCCTATGACAAGTGAACTAATGCATATTTTAAAGGACAAAAATACGGTGAGATGCACTCGAATGTGGCAGAGTATTTCAATTCATGGATCCATCAAGCTCATCATTTGCCCACTACGAAGATGATTGATTCAATTTGGTTGAAGATCATGGATTTGATGTCGCGAAGGAGAGAACAAGCTAAGAAATGAAATCCTTTTCTTTGTCCGGAGATGGATTCAACATTAGCAAATGCTCTTAAAAGTGAAAGAACTTGGTTGGTTAGTCGTTCAAGTGATCATGTTTTTGAGGTTCAATCCTGGCCATCGGTTAGCGTTGACCTCTTGAATAGAACTTACTCATGTTATCAATGGCAATTGAATGGATTTCTTTGTACTCACGCAGCGACCGCTATCCAAAAGAGCGGAGGTGATTTGTATGCACATGTGGAACCATTTTATTACACTAGCAAATTCAAAGCTTGCTATGCTAAGTCTGTTTATCCAATACCCACTGCCGAGAAGCCTCTTGTAGCTATGGATGATCTTGTTGTCCTTCCTCCAATTTGTAAGAAGCTACCTGGTAGGCCAAGGAAGAATAGGATTCCATCTAGGGGTGAGAAGATAAAACGAGTACAGTGTGGTAGATGCGAGAAGTACAGTCATAATAGAAAGACTTGCAAAGAGACATTGTGTCACGACCCAAACCCGCCCCTATGGGTTTAGGATCGTAATTGGCCAGTAATCCGTGATTACCAAAGGTCTGTTTAACAATAAAGACAATAGTACAGAGTAAGGGGCTGGCGGAAGCCAAACAGTAAATAAAAGACGTCCAATGAGCTGTGACGATCTGAATGAGAAAAGACATTTATGAACAAGCCACATTCAAACCAAAACATATTACATAACAGATACACATCACACCCAGGTTAGGGACCAAATCCCTAAATCATAACTGTACAGTCGAAGTCTTATTCAGTCAGTACAAAATAGAGACAAAAAGGATGAATCCAAAACACCCCAGAAATAGCCTTGGCTTAAACAGACTCGGAACCTCGAAGTGAGGCGCAATGGTTAGCTTGACAAAATGAGAGCTTAACTCGATGCTTCTAGCTCCGGTCCGGTGCCTGGACACCTACATATAAATATAAACAGTGAGCTAAAGCCCAGTGAATAACAACTGTGTAAAGAGGTTAAGAATGAATGTCCTTTCAGTAATTAAAACAATCATTTACATCAGTTGATCAATTGTTCAATTAGTGACTAATAGTTCATGTCAGAACAGTCATTTAGAAGCCATAGCAGTCATATGTGATACATCTCATAGCAAAACAATACAGTAAACAGTCGGTCTTAACAGACCGAACAGTCAGTTGATGGCCATCAAAACAATATATAGTATTGGTTCCAATTATTGGAACTGACAGAGATCTCTGTGACAGTACCAGTAATAGTACAGTGCAGCAGCAGTAACAGTAACAGTAACAGTAGGTTGCTATAGATGCCACAAGTATAGTTTACAAATAGGACAAACATTCGTTCAGTAAACAACGTCGTTTCAGAAAGCAGTCCAGTCAATCATTCAGAAAATAATTATAATTGAACGTATCTTTACAACATTGTTACTCACAGAGTATTGGTTATAGGCAAGCTAATGAGCGTCCTCGGATGCCAACCCTACACAGTTGCAGAATGAACACACACTAAGTTACACATTTGGGAATCAACAACTTAGTCCCTATCTTGACTTGGTGTGGTTCTATAACATTATCCTCATTAAGATGCCTTAAATATGGCCTAGGGATGCCTAGGATGAAATGAGGATGCAAAGATGTACTTTAAAACACTTTTCAAAATTTGCTGAAAACAGGGGTCTTGCTCGAGCGTGGCTTCCTTCGCTCGAGCGAGCTTACCAAAACAGAAGGGTCGCTCGAGCGTAAACTCCTTCGCTCGAGCAGTCTGTAAAAATGCAAAAAGTACTGGTTGCTAAAATTCTCCACTCGATGTTCGCTCGAGCGAAAGATACAATTCTTCGCTCGAGTGTGCGTCTGCGTCCACAATAACTTGAGAGCTTGCAATCTACGCTCGAGCTAGCATTCTGTCACTCGATCGGAATTCAAAAAACAAAGGTGCTCGCTCGAGCGTAGAATCCTTCGCTCGAGCGAGGAAGCCAAATTTTGGGTTTTCCAGATTTGCCTCCAAAGTTCAAACCAAGCATTCAACACCTCAAAACTCAATCTTTTGGACCAATTTCTGGAAAACACTTGGAAACTCATAATTTAACATTTTTTGAAGATTTTTTTTCAAAATCAAAGGCCAAAGATAAGCCAATTGAACACCAATTTCAAAGAAACTTGAAGAACAATACAAGAACTCTAATGTTGTATTATGAGTTTCCATGAACTCTAACGTTCCAAAACATGACCAAATGCAAGATTGAGCTTTAAAACATGGTGAATTGTTCGATCACAACAAAAATATGAACATGCATGTAAGAAATTCTCATGAGAGCAACCTTAAAATTAAAGAACATGTACATGCACGCATGAATTAGCTTCACTCTCTTAAATTCTAACTCAACTAACCATGAATTCTGTAACGCCCTCAAAATAAACCCATATATCATACAATCTTGACATGCTTGGACATAAGAGAATAGAGCATAATTTCATTCATCAGAGTATTCATTACAAAAGTATTACATGTTGATATCAAAAGTATGTGCCCCACGGGCTTACAACTTTCCAAGTCAACATTTAGTTACAAGAAGGAGAGTACTATCTCTACACAAGATAAGCCCTTGGCTTGATATACATGTAATTGTAGACGTGCCCGTGGGCCTCGCTACAGTTCGGACTCGATTTGTGTCACGGTTCTTAATCTTGAACCAAAGAGTCCAGATCTGGCAAATCGTTTTGAGAATACAGATTTTAGGAAAGAAGTGCCAAACATGGACTGCTTTGCCAGATACAGAGTCGCCACCTAAATATTTTTTATGGGGGAATTTAGGAAACCCTGACTCAGTGCCGAAGGCCACATGTCCGTCATCACCGGAGTTGTCTCGGCTCGGGAGCTAGGGTACGATTGGGGAAGGTCAGCTATGAGCACCCCCTCTCGCCCGATCCGAAGATCGGCCTCTACTAACCGTGATTCATGCATTCCAAATCAAGGCTTCAGGTCCCCTGTTCCAAAAGCCTGTCCCAATTCCCTGTCCCATCCCCTTATGCTGACACATGTTCACTGTTTACTATCAATTATAACTCCGTTAACCCACCTTTTTGCACTTACACGATTCACAACTCATCTGCCATATCCCTTACCTTCCGACTTCGTGGTTGTCCTCGCCGCCTTGCTGCGCACCTTAATCTGTGTTTTGGCTTCATCACTGTGGTCAGACCAAATCATCGCCACAAGGTGGCTGTTCCGCAGCCCCGCAATCCAACCTTCACCCGCAGGCATTCAAACAATTTATCACATAAGCATCTAGCCACATGGTAAGTATGCTATCATGTTAACATTCACACGCATGCGAGATGCTAAAACATAAAACACTTACATTGTACTCCAAGCC